CTCACAGATCTTGCACAACTTTGGAAACCTCTTTCCTTTGGTGGTTTTTGTTCATTTGGTTGGTTGGTTTTTTTTAATTTTTTCCTGAAAAAGATATATTACAAGCAGAATTTAGGGTATTCTGTAGGTTGAAGCCTCCTTACATGATCCTTGAAAAATAAATCTTTTAAAAAAACTGGCCCTACTTTTCAGTACTGACAAATGGAAATGTGCTGCTCTTCATTCACATCCTTATTATCCAGCACTGGAATACCACTGCAAAAGCTGACTGTATTATATTCATCTGCTGGTAGGGTGTATATAGAAGCCTATGCTTACTTGGGTGAAACATCATTTACTGTTTGATACCAATGTTGCTCTTAAGTATTTGACAATTGACTATCTAGTTCATGTGTTTCTTTTATATATAATATATTTATTATCACTCATTACTGAAAAAGTTTGACAACTTTTTACACTAAGTTGCTTTATTATGGCTCAGGGTATAAATCAAAGGTGCTACATTGCTTCTTCATTCTAGGACTTAAAAAGGCTTTGAAGTGGTAAGAACAGGAATCTTGGAGACGACAATTAGCAGCTTTCTTGGATTACTAAAGACAGTTCTAGATATTACAGATAATATGACTTATTATTTTGAAGGTTGATAAGCAAGCTGTGACAAAGAAACCTGAATCTTATTCAAAATTTTAAAGACAGGAGCTATTCTAATGAAAATAATTATTATCTGTTCTGCAGATATCCTTGTCTTGCTTATAAGCAACTCTCTCCACAGCTTTTTTAATTCCCTATGACTATCAATCCTGTATTTTCCTACAACTATGCCTTGCTTAGATTCCTTCCTTGCTGTCTGTTGGCCACCATCCTTTGAAGTCCCATTTCTCCTAGAAATATTGCTATAGCAATAATTTTCCCCTAATCCCTTAATTAAAGGTTCTATTTCCTTTTTTTTTATTTTTTTTTGTTATTTACTTGAATTTAATATGAGCTTCTTTGGTCATATATGAGTTTTAAATGATTTTAAAGAGTAATCCAAACAAAATGGGTATTTTTGTCATCCAGAAGGATACTTAAGTAAAAAAAGAGTAAAACACAGAATTGGTTTGGGTTTTTTTAAATTTATGATCTCTATTATTTTGAAAGTGTTCTTTTCGTGGTAAGCAGTAAAAAGTATTTGCATTCAGTGAGGCTTCTGAAAGCAGCTTATTCTAGAACACAGTCCAAACCCCAACATCCACAGCAATGTTTTTTTAAGAGCTCTAATGTCCAGATAACTCCTGCAAGAGGTATGTCATGCAGATGAACTGAGAGGCATGTAGAAACTTTAAAACAGGAGTACTCATGTCGGAAGTTGCTCACATTTTGATGTCCTTTTAGTATACCTGTCATTCATGAGGGAATGCATAATATTGTGCCTTGTTGTCCTCATATGAGTAATTTAACAGAAACTCGTCAAGTAAAGATTTGTTTCAGAACTCTCTTGTGAATTACTTCTATGTAAGACTGGGCATTTAAATCATTCTTAGTAATTTATTATTTTAACAGATCATTTGAATCACAATTTCCATGAGTTAAAAGGTATTTTTGTTATAATCTTATGAGTGATGGTTTATTACATTGCCATCCTCAGAACAATCCCAAACTTATCTATACAGCTCCTTCACAATTGCAACTACTTGCATTTATAAGATGACTAGAGTTTTAAGACACAATTCCAGGATGCCGGCAATTGGACATTAACTCAAGAGTTAATTGGACATTAACTCTTTAGCTAAGGCTTGTGCATATGAAGTAAATAAGCCACACATCTATTTTTCACACTCCTTATACAGGAACAGCATTTTACATACCTGCATTTTATGAGTGACTAAGGACAACGGCTAAAAGTATAAAGCTATGTATTTACTTTAACAGACTGTCACCCCAGTCGACATTGTATGACCATATATTTAGGTATTAACAAAATTCTTTAAAGTATTAAGTTTTTACTGCTCTTCCAACACTTATACATCAGTCAAAAATTACTGTGATTTAATATTTGTAATATTTTATGTTAGTATTTACAATGGTACCAACTACAGCAGACAGCATGTAAGACCAGTTCTTAATGATTAATGAATTTAATAAATAGAATTGCCAATCAAGAGAGATTAGTTAAACATCAAATATTTCAAATAATATGCAAATGCACTTTAGTACTTCTTCTGATGTAGTTGTGATTTCACAGGCTCAAATCACTATTTCACTTTCTTATCTAAGTATTTTTTGTAGAGCAAGCCCCAGTGTTGTCAGAACTTTCCTGCTTCCATGTTGAATTTGATTTGCCTTTGCACACTGAAGACTTTTAAAAGATTTGAGACGCAGGTCTTCCAGTCTACACTCCCCTCCTTTGTACTGGTTTCCTCATATATTGTCTAAGCCAGCTACAGCTTCTCTGCACAGCCAGGCAACTTTTCATCAGGACAACACTAAGTATTTGGCTTTTCCTGAGGAAAAGGTTAAAGAGCAACAAAACATCATAAGGTACAAAATACACTGAACTGTATATTACGAGGATACAGCCAGAAAAAACAGGTGAAGAAAAGCAGAGAAACAGAATTTAACTACCAATAAAAAGGGAAAATACTAAATATGGGTGGTATTAATGAGTCACTACTGACAAGACATTTCCCATCCAGCAGAACTCTCCTCCCCAAATACCACAGTCCATATTCTACACCATGGATTTGTATTGACCATTCTCTATCTATCATGTCTTCATTTTACATGTTTTCTTCAATCTAGATGTCTCTAGCCCAATAGAACAGATCTTTTTAACTTTCTATTTATTTAAGGCAGCACATTTCATCTCACTTTCTGTACTTATCTTTGTGAACACTCTCAGAAGACTAAATCGTTACTGAGAAGGGGTAAAAAAACCTCAAACCAATGACTGAGATTTGTTGTTATTTTTGCCAGGTTTCATTTTCCTAAGGTAACATCTACACACATGGGCTAGCACAACTAAAATACCTTTTCTTTCAGGAAAATGCACTCTTCACACTCTTTCCAGCACTGAAGTTCTCTTTTTAACAGGAAAGATATACTTTGGGTGAATATCTCAGACTGCTCATTTATGGACCTCAGTAACATTACAGGTGCTGAAGTCTGAACAAGCAATTGATTTATACCACTATTAAGTGCCGACATTCTTTTCCCCAACAAAGTTTAACTGTTCGTGCAGAAGCATTGCCTCATAATCAATACACCTTCCACCTGCCAAAGGTATCTCATGTTTCCAGCTTGAAATATGGAGGTGCCTTATTTGCATTGGGACAAAGTTCCTGCAGTGTATCATGAGTACATTAAAATACAACAACTGAATTGAGTTCGGCAGAAATCAGAGCCACCTTTTTCACTTTCATGCAAAAGCACCTATTAAAGATGGAGCCACTCATATGACAACTGCCTAAACTAAATACAGGACAAAACTTTTATGGATGTCTTTATAGCAGACTTTCCTTCTCAACAGCTCTAGGTGATGCAGGTTGGACACTGTCAAACAATTCATCCTTTGACCTACTGTCTGACATGTAACTTTCTCAGACTTCAGCAGGGTTCTGGCTGGACAAATTAGTGTGGGGGTCAGTGATCTGCTTTGTAGTCTGCCCTTCCCAAAGGACATCCTCATAACTTCTGGTCATTAGGCACAAAGGACACAACTACAGTGCTGATACACATGGTGGTCTCATGATGGGCAACCACAAACAGTATGCAGCAGACAGAACTCAATAGCAGATGTATCATGTCACAGAAATTTTGACCATGGACGTGTTTGGTTTTGATCATATGGTCACTGAATTGTTAATTACTGCAAACTGATTTAATAACTTTACTAATAATATGAAAATGTACATTTCATACTCTTGATTATGAACAAAATGAGATATAGCTGCTACTATCAGGTTTTGATAAATATTTAGGGGCATTTTCTTAAGAGAAATCATGCAGACCTTTATGATAGACTGAATTACAAAGAAAGGAATTTGAAAACATTTAAAGGCCAAATTGTGATTTATTGTATAATTATATATTTTAAGGGGAATAGCAGGCTCCTTTATACATTTCAAATTATTTTTTTCTTTTGTTTGAAAACAGTTTGTTTGAAAATAGTGAAGCTTGCAAACTGTTCAATGAATTGAAATGATAATTCTTCAAGTAGGAATTTTCAAGAAGTTACATCATTTCAAGAGCATGGAAATGTTGCTCATCAATGCTCATCTGGGTCCCAGTCTAGAAAACTATTTAAACATATCAGGTTAGCCTACAGTTAAATAAGCGGGAATTTATGCTTTACTGCCTGAGAACCTGGTAAGAAATGAGTTAATAAATTGTTACATTTTTCTCCAAAGTCAAATAAAGGTTGAAAAATATTAACAAAGCTAAGAAAAGTTCCATTTTATCTGACACACATTGTTGCCATTCTTGCCTTAAAAATATGATTTAAGGAGTAAGGTCTGCTTATTCTTTCTGCCAAGGTCTCTCACATCTGTCTAGATCTACTGATTTCACTCAGTAAACCAATATATTTTACTGCTATCATACATAGTAAACGAGGTACATTTCTGAGTTTTGAATTTGAATTTTTTTAAGGACATCTGCTTAAATGTTTTAGTCTCTGGAATACTAGGAAATGCAGAGAAACTCTAGCCATGTTCTCCTGTTGCATTTTCTTACAAAATGATTTGCAACTATCAATAGCTATTGACACAAGAAAAAAAAGTAACTTTTGCAGAGACCTTTGCATAACTCTGCAATAAAAAAGAGCTTCAAATATACAAAAAACTAATGAGAAATTGAAACTATACTGCTGCCACTTACCAATCTACAGCTGGACTATTCAGATATGGCCATAACAGTAATAAATAATCATCTGTTTAATACTTTATATTCCCAAAGCTCTTTACAAATATTCATTACAATGTTTCCAGAACAGTGAACAAGGAATAGTCACTTAGACTTACCCACATTTAATCTGCCTGTGACTTCCCCATTCGAATTGCGAGCATTCACAGTCACATTGTGAGTAGACTGGAGAAGCAGTGATGAGTCCTGAAATACAGAGAAAGCAAACATTATGTTAGGCAGAACATAATTAACAATAATTACAATTGTTAACAATTTTCAAAATTTAGTCTAGTGTTGATATCAACTCGGTCACCACAAGATTTTTGTACCTACAAAACTATCCACAAATGTCATCAAATAATGCAGGCAGATATTTCTGATTACTTAACTATATTAGATTTAAAATAAGAAAAAAAATTATAGGGAATAATTCAGGTGAACAAAATCTGTGTTACTGGACCAACGAACATGGCTGCTAACATTTTAGCTTTTGGAAAAAATGCTTAAGTACTGGATCTTCTAGATCTACAAGATAGCCATTTAATTAAGTGGGAGCATTCCACTTCATGAATTCATACTGTTGTATTAACTTGACGAGAAACATGCATGTGCATTCTGTTTCCTCAATGGTCCATGCAGTCTCTAGGCTGTTGCTTAATTTTGGCACCTGGCACTGACTCTCCTGGCAAGGAAGTTCCAATAGTGAGTGATGGAAAAAGTGGCAGGTTGACTAGATCAATGCTGACTTTAACAGATGACAGTACAAATAAGACTGTTCGTCTAACTTAAATTGTCCCCCAATCTGCCACTCTGAAGGATAACAGAAGCATATCAGTGGAATGAACAGCATCACCTTGTCCACATCCCTGAATCACAACTTGATCTGGGGCATTTGCTGAACAACCAGAGCCTCATGCCTACCCATCATTCTGTGCTACCGAAGGAAGTCAGGGCACGCCAAGCAGGTGTAATTGGTATCTTCATTCATGCCAAGCACTACAATCCACAGTAGCTATTGTAGGCAATTCAAAATTTCATGTCATTCTTAGACTGCAGCCAGAATGGAATTACTTCACCAATGCCAAAACATCCCGCTGTGTTAACTCATGGCTTCTTGTTGTGCTTGTTGAACTCCTCCCAGGTGATGTACCATTTCCATTACTTATTCCCAGACCTTGCACTCTATCTGTACTTCAGGCCTGTTGGAGCTTCCCTAAGGTACTCCTTGCCTTGAACAGCAGACGAACAACTGTTTTGAAAGACCTAGCTGCTCACTGTGCCCCACCAAATTAGATATACAGACAGGAATGAAACTGGTTCATAGCAAGAGACCTTGCTATGGGGTATTTGAAGGGGGCATTTAGAAACATCCCAAAAATTTGTGAGGAAGGCACAGAGTGGGTTCTTCTTATGTTTTTACTTAATTTATCACCTGAAATGCAGCTGATTTTCAGGGGGATCATAGTGGCCACTGTCTTTATTTGACCTTAACTATTAGAAAATCATCTGGGGACAGAAGGTCTGATCATGCTCATGTGGATCAACAAATTGCAGATACACTGGTAGACTTTAAAAGATGGGAGGAAGTTTTTTGCAGTACAGGTGCTTTCATACTAAAGCACGCTTTTTGTCTGAAGGACAAGAACTTAGTAACTGATAAGAGTGTCTAAGCAGGTCTCAGCTGCCAAATTATCAGGGAATACATGATATGAAGAGGGTATTAGCAAGCTGCCTGCTTGTGACCTCAGAGGAGATACTCATTCCTAGATAAATGAGTTTGTAATTACTGTAATATTGTTAAAGATCAGTCTCTTTCACAGCTATGGCTTCTGGTACTTTTCCTGGACAAGAGAGCCTATGTGGCACCTTGAAGGGCTAACCCCTGAAAATAACTCCCAAGTCATGTTCTCATTGTAATTTAATATTTAAGAGTATGAGATAACCTCAGAATTTTGAACACATTTTACATGATGAATTTTAGTACAAACACTTATCTAGTAACAGTGGTAGAAGCAATACAGAGTTTGCAGTCAATCTTGCACTTTTTTAAAAAACCAAAACCCCAGTATCTTACAAGTAGGAAGACAGACTCTCTCAAAAGAAGTCACTAAGTGAGCAAAATGAAAGAATCTCATTTTGTAAATTATATCAGGAAAAAGTGAAAGATAACAAAACTAATAAAAATAACGAAAATGTCTTACGAAAAAGTTAAGCCATGTGTTAGAATGAACATTAATGGTAACAAGTTAGTATGAAGTGGAAAAAGAAGGTCAACAAAGACTGGAGATTGGATAAATATAGTACCTTTAAGTAGATGTCTAAATGACCCACAAATCTGGGCGTCTTTACTACATTTATTTGATTGACACTAGTTGATTTAAAAAATAAGTTAGTAATTTGTAATATCAAATGTAAGTGCGAATAAACTGTATTCTAGACCTGTAGCTGCCACATATGTGGTTTTGACTAATTAAAATCTAGTAACATATTTAAAAAACCCTCATCTTTTATCTTTCCTTGAAAATGTATTATCAAAGATGCAATGGTGTTGTCTACAACTCTGTCTTGGACTCATAATGAAGGCATAAAGTTATAATAGGCTCCAGAGATGATGCACAGCAAGTAGACTTTCTGCTACATATTTTCTTAGCACTTTGAAGATCTCATTAGGTGAGAAAAGCTGTTAGGAGACTGCAAGGAGAAAACTATTAAGGAAAGGGAGAAAGCTCCTACGATAGCTGTGACGGGCCCAATTCTGTAAGACAAACTTAGAAAAAGAAAGCATAACAAATAAGTAACTTTACGAGAATAAATATATAGATTGCACCCAGGAGATCAAGCTACAGGCAATTAAGCCTCTAGAGAGTTTAAATATTTAAAAAAGCAAGGAAACAAACAAACAGAAAACCTCTGATGAACTATCAGTGGGCCAAGACAAGCAGTAGCCTGAAGGCTCTAATTAATGCATACTACTAATGATCATGATGGGTCATTAGCCAGCTAAGCTTATATTAGATGCTGCCACACCTCTTTCTTCCAACGTTGTACTAAATGTATTAAGAGCTGAAAGGAATATTAAGAGAGCACAAATGGTAGCTTAATGTTGCATAACAATGTTTGGGAGTAGAGAGAGTTCTTAAGTATTAGCTATGCTGGTCTTACAAAGTTACATGTCTTACTGATAAACAACCTCAAGGGAAATTCATTTAAGCACATAGTTTTCCCACTGCCTGTCAAGCAGAATAGCATAAGAAATAAAATGGAAATACAGATTCAGTAATGGAATTTCACTGTAATTAAGAGCTGTTCCTGATACTGGAAATACTTGTTGCAGAAAAAGAGAAAAAGAAAGGCTTAATACAAGTAAAATATATTGGCATTACTTAAATTCTAGTAATCAAGTATTTTAACAACCTCATTCTGAAATATTTATTTACATTTTCTCTTGCTGTAGCAATACAAACGGTTTTTCTGTAGGTTCAGAAAAGTGGCTATTTCTTCTCATTTGAAGATATGAAAGAATCATATTTGGCTTTTACTGTCACTGAATAGTACTTTATTGAATGAAATGTCCCATTGGTTGCTGATAATGTTCATAAAACAAGGCTTTATTTTGTGAGAGTTTAGATTATGGTCAGTAGATCTGAAAAATATTCATTTTACTGGCCAGAGGCAGATAACCCTCTAAAAAAAAAAATCACTGGAATAAGTTTCAGAGTCCCCCTGGATAATTAAAAAACAATTCAGATTCTCTCTTTGTTTTTCTAAACCTACTACTGCCACACAAATGTTTCATAACATTCCCATTCTTGGTAACATTTTAAAGTCAATCTGTTTGTATTTTCTTTGATTATGTTATTCCTTTTTTTACCTCAACAATAATAACAAACCAAACTTTTCTGTCTGTGTAAACAAGACTAAATCTTAAATCTTTCCATTTAGACTTGTAGACCTTATGTACACAAATATACAAACATATCATACGTTTGATAGCATTGTGCTAGAAGTGACAAAACCTGAATTTATTAGAGAAATCATAACTTTTCCAATGGGGTCCACTAATTTTAGAGATACTGAAGCTATTCTGTAGTGGAAGAATAAACAAAACAAACAGTTTAATAGAGAAGCCTATGTTTTAAAATAATCTCAGTAAAAATGATGAAAATCTTTCCACACACTCTTAAATTTTTAGCATTACTTATATATGACAACATTTATAAATCCTTTTTGAGCTACTGCTTATCACGTGTCTAAGAGATAAATGCCATAGCATCATTGCAACATAGCACCATTGCAATATCTGCCATAGCAACACTGACCTTGTAAAATATGCAGAATTATGTGGGTATATAGCATTACTGAAAGATTATCCGCTTACCACTCTAGAATGGATTTCTTTGGCATAAAGAGGGAATAAGAATTCAGATTCCCCTTCCAGACGAAGACCTTCTTTTGTAACACGCAGGTGTCCCATTCCAGTCTAAGGAGAAGATGGAAGAATTATGCACATTTTTTTACTGTTACTGTATTTATTTTGTGTTTTTTTCACAAATTAAACACTTCTAGAGCTGCCTGCCTCCAGTCTCTTGATAAAGATACAAACAGCAATTCGTTCAAAATTTTAAGAATTCCTTATTTCTTCCATGAGTAATTTTTTTTTGAGAAACTGCACGTTTCAAGAAGTTATTAAACTTGGTGATTATTTTTCCTTTTTTTTTTTGGCAAAGGGAGGGGGCAGTGGGCAGGAATAGAGTATTACAGTCATTACCTTAAAAAGAAGTACATCTGTATCTGCTGTGCTGAAATAGCTTTTGTACTCGCCTTCTAAAAATGTCATGAACAATAAACTTCTACATATAAGTACTTACGTAAAACAAATCTTATATTAACATCTCAAGGTTTATTTATCAATAATATATTTTACAAAGAATGTAATACTTCTAAGCCTACTGAAGAGGCAAAGAGAGATTTTTATTTGCTTCCCTTTTCAGTAACTACCTCCTTCTTTTTAATTAATTTTTAATCTATTGGTTTAGGTTTTTTCTCCTCTAATTGTAGGTCAAGGCTCTCTCTCTCACATTATCATGTACCTTTTTCTCTATCATTTCCTTCTTAGATTTTGTACCTTTGTCTTTCTCTTTTAGTCACTCCCTCCTGAGTTCTGCCCAATTGTGCTTTCCAGTTGATACCTTATTTAATTCTTTTTACTTTCTTTCATCATTATCATATTACTGATAATGTGAAAAACGAGTGAGGAATTACTTCAGTAAGTACATCTGAGGACTTCCAGGCTTCAGCTGCAAGGTATTTTACAGGTATTTAGCTAATTTGTAAAGGATTCACCCCTTTCCCTGCCATAAAAAGTGACAGAAAACATGACAAAAAAAGTGTAGCTTTTCAGCTTGGCCACATGTGAAAATATTTCAAGCCAACTGCCCCAAACTACAAAGAATAAGTGGGAGGGCTAAATAAAAAACAATAAATCCAAAAAGTATTCCCACCCAAAATAGTTTTCATGTTGCTCTCCACATAAGCAGAAAAGATACATAGTAGGCTACTGATGATACATTAATAACCTGTTCATCTAATGAATTATGCTTACCACCGATAAAAGTTATAACTTGAAGAGACTGTAATTCTTTTTAAATATATGATCTGTCTAATCAGATTATGTATTATATCTATACACAATGCTAAATAACATGTCAAACCAGCTTTCAAAGAAAAACCAGAGCTATTTTTTTTTGAGCAGGTTTGAAAAGAGACAAAGAAACAAGCTTTGCTTAAATTCCATAAGGTAAGAAATATTCATCCACTCCACTGAAAAGTACAACTGCAATTCTTCCTCAGCAAGGATTTGTTTCAGGAAAGAGGCTTTCAGGATAGCTATATATAGGATCTATTTTTCAGGGTCAAATATTTTACTGCTTCAAAATATATAATGTATGGACTTTTCTCAGCGGAAGTAGACACAACTTCTAAATTCTACCCCATTGCGAAGCTTTTAAAAGTACCTAGGATAAACAACCACCTTAATGCACTGAGATTCAGTGCTAAGTTCCTTGAATAGGCAGAGCCCAATAGTTATACATATGTTCTCTCAACAATCACTCTGCTTCTTATATTACCATTTAGGAGAAGCCAAATATTATTTATTGTGACTTCTTCAGTGATAAACAAACTAGTGCTTTCAGTTTCAAAGATTTGATTCTGTTCCTATTCAAATAATTGAATAAAAATATTTCTATTGACTTGATTAAGGGGTCCAAACATCAGTGACATGTAGACTTTGATGCACTTATACAACAAGATATTGATAAGGGTGGGAGAAAAAAAAGTGCTTCATTAAACATAGCAGATGCACGGCAAATTTGGATTCTGGTTATCCTGAGGCTGGTGACTGTCACTGCATGAGTGTGCTGGCCCTGAGCTGTAACACGGTGTTGTACCCATAGCTGCGACTCACATTTTCTAATTACTCAAAGTCCTAAGTGAGGCAGGGACTCAGCTGTACAGAAGAGAAGGATGAAATGGCATCTCTGTAAGACAGTAAGCAGATTTTGTTATTGCTGCAAGGAGTTGATTAGTGTGGAAACTGCTGGCACCTGCCAAATTCTTATGCACCAAAGATGCAATTTAGCATTAGTGTTCACAAAGGTGTGACCAGTTTTCATTTCAGAACTGCTAGGCATATTCTAATTGAAGCAACAGGATGTCTTTATCCACAGTACAGGCTTTTTAATAATTTCAAAATGCTCCCAAGCAGGTAAGTGCTTGTAGAAACAGAGACAAGGCCTTCTACAAAAATTCAAGCTCTGAATGGATTCAAGCCTCATAAAAGCTCATCAAAAGCCTCCTTGATTGAGAAATCCTAGTCTAAAAGACATTTGACAGCTATTCAGTGAGCTACTTACACAGGGATGCTCCAAACCACCTGAAATAAATAGCCACCACTACAGAGTCCAAGACATATTGTGTTATGGAACATCTGGATGGAAGGACCATCTTGGATGTGTTATCATTCTCTCAGACTCTAAACGCAGACTGTGGACTATTAGGAGCGAAAACAAGCAGATGAAGCTTTAGGGCCCTTGCAGTCATAGTGACTTGCTCTCAGGTAGCTAAGCTGCATGCTGTCTATGACATAGGGAATTGAAAGAGCATCAGATGATTTATTTGGGATTTATCTCCCAATAATATGACAATGTAGGTCTGCTGCTGCAGGCATGTGGCCCTTAGAAATGAGCATGAGGCATGGGGGGCATTGATTCAGTTTACAATGACTATTTCTAGTGTCACCTACATTCAATCAATAACTGTAAATTGTATTTTCCTACCAACACAGAAACTGATACACACATGGGCTCACTATATGTAGGCAGCCACTCTTCATATCATATGTCATATCATGCCATATCATATCATCATTTTGGCACCTTCCCAGCATTAGACTCAAATGCAGTCCTCAGACTCCTCTAGACAAGAGAAATTAAACTTCTGGTCATGTATCAGCTAATAGCTGCACAGGAAGATATGTATTTTCTTCTTCGGGGGAGAAATCAAATATTGGAAAGACAGACCAACACATGTGTTAGCATGGTTACAACAAAAAATTCACAAAGTTGATTCAAACATTAGCTTTAACACACATTCAATTCAAATCAAGTAGCTTCTGTCTGAGGAGTTAATAGCATGTTTGATTTGCAGTATCTGCTCCCTGAATATTCAACTTTTCCAGATATTAAAAGTCCTCACATGCTGTAGTGGTTGAATGGAACTGATAATGATATTAACTTCAGAGTACAGAGGATGCAGCATTTCCACTCAGTTAATACCTTTTCTTATAGGTTATTTACATCCTACTTCTAGGTCAGACCAGGGAAAGCCCTTGGCAAGTTCAGGCCAAGACATCAATTGTTGTGCCCCAAAGCTAGTTCAATTAATGGCTTTATAGATCCAGCTTTCACTGCAGTACTTCTTGCAGCAATTGCTATTTCGAGAACTTGCTTTGCAAACAAGAGTGTACTGTTTCATTGAGATAATAGGACTATGGGTAGAGATTGTTAAAGAGCAATCAGCAAAACAGGACTGGTAATGAATCTGATGAAACTCTCTGTTTGACTTACAATATCAATTTTGGAGCTAAGTACGTGCTTGGTATAATAATAGCCTCATCTCATTTTCTGTTGCAAGGACTCTACTTGCTGGGCTCAGACGGAGAAGGTTCTCATACTCATCTGCTTAGACGACAGTGGAATCTTTGACAAAAAATACAGTGGTCAAAATCAGAGCAAGCACTCCCGGTATAGAACTTGTCTCACAAGTTTTAGGGCTGGATATAGACTAAACATCCTTTATAGATGAGACTAAAAAGTGGGTTGATAATATTTCATGATCTAGAAAAGTAGATGGTCACTTTGTACTCAACAGTTTTGTAAGAAAACAGCTATGAATTATGCAAATTCACCATACCATTGAGAGTTGCTTATTTTTTACAAGATTTCTGTCATAAAATAGGATTAATACTTAAGATGCATACTTTCAACACATTTTCAGGTCCTCTTTGTCCTGATATACAGAATAACAAAGTTCCTTACATAAAGAAAGGTATTAATTAAAACAGGTGTTACTCAAGAGGAAAAAGTATCTTCTCAAAACAGATTCAGTTCCACCTCAATTTCCTTGTTTAGCAAGGACCAAATTCTGTGTTTGGTTCTATACTGCCCAGATATTTAAAAGCTGGATAATAATCAGATACTAAAAATGCTATTACATCTGGCATTACATCTCCTGTGTTAGAAAAACAGACTTAAAAATAGACTGCTACTCCCACTGCTATATATATTTATTCAGGAATTAAGTTTTTGTAAGTTGGCTAATTAATTTTATTATATTAACATTTGTAATTATGCAACTTAGCTAAAGAAATGGAATTAAAATTTTCCTTTGATTTGTAAAGGTTGTCAAAAGGATATCCTTAAATCAAGTTGTTAAACTTGCACTGTACTCAGATTTTTTATAACTCTTTATCAATATTATAAATTATTCCAACAATACATTTTAAACAAGTGTTCTTCCACACTCTTACATACACATAATTTGATTCATAATATAATTCAGATTAATCAAATGCTTTAAGAAAATACATTCTATATATATGTAAACAGGTATCACTACTGAGAAGCCTTACTTTCTTTGGTAACAGCTTTTCTGCAGTAAGTGTCTCAATATCTTTCTATTCAACTATTAATCTTTGCACAAAGTATTTACATATTCACTATCTGATAGAGACAATGGTAAAGACTGTAGGCAAATTGTTTTTAATTTAATAGAAAAATAGCAAAATAGAGCTGTTCAGAATTATTCAGGGTAGAAACTATGGAATATTTATGTTCTGACACGATGAATTAGGATGAGAATTTGTGAATAATTAAATAATTTATTTCATTTGAGCATTAAAATAATGTAACATTCTCAAAATGGCAACTAATTCCATGGAGCATCCACTGTTAATCAAAAAATGCATGGAAAAGCTGTACAAGTTCACTAGTATATGTCTTTGTAGTGAAGGAGAACTCTTGTTGTGAATAAGTGTTCTCTACTTTACATTTTCATTGCTGTCTGGTCTGATTTTAAATGTTTCAAACAATTGAACATCTCCAATGTAATAAGGCATGATATTACACAGTGTAGTAAGTCTCACTGTCAGAAAGTGTTACCTGTTAAAATTTTGCTTTCTTAATTAATCACATTCCTAGTTTCGTATTTTATATTTCTTTAAGTAATTCCCTCCGTCTTTGTTGCCTGAATTTGTCAATTGTTTAAATACTTGTTTACACAAGTATTTGATTATAAAATCAGTTATTTTATTTCAAAATACATATGGTATTTGTAGATTTAGTCCAGCATCATTATCAGCCAACCAATATGTATATATTATACAAGCAAGATTATACATAGTTTCCTTTTCAACATTTCTTATTAAATGAAATATTAACAAATTGTTATTGCTGAAATATCAAGAAATTGTTATTGCCTTACAGAAAACTTTGGAAAATAATTAAAAAATAATTTTTAATACTTTGTCTATATTCATTGTTAATTGCTTATCAGAAACCAAAAAGATTAAAAGGTGCTATTTCTGGGAATAGCTACACAGGTAGAAGACTCACTAATTACAAGTAAGCTACAAGAAGAAACCACCTGTGAATAATATTTAGAAAACCCTGTAATTTTTTGTTTAACTGTAGCAATTTTCCTTTTTACTCCAGTGCCAGACATTTATGTGCATAAAAGTGAAGTCCATACTCTAGCTTAAATGTGCAGAGACCCTCCCAATTCTTGTAGCCTATGTCTCTATGTCCCGCTGAAGTGCAGACACAAGAGCAGGTTCAACATTTGTCCTGTTCTCAGGAAAAGCCATGCTTAGAATATGCACTGATGGACTGGATATTGTGTGCTTGTCCCTCCATATACCTAGTTAATTCCTGTCCTGATGGCTTGTGGTGTTCTAAGGCTTAGTATTGGGACTTGACTTTCTTCTTGTTAGTGACTCAAACCCAAGTAAGGTTTAACATGGATGGCAGGAAAACTTGGGATTGAGTGCAAATTCAAATCATATTTGACTGACAGTGCATCTAAAACTATCAAAACCTGTTTACTTCTCTTACACTGTGCTTAAAGTTTTTGCCAGAGAAAAGCTGGTGCTATGTGCCAAGCTCCACGCTGAAGGAAGGCAACTAGTTACCCTGGGGAATACTCTAGTTGCATTACTATCTGTCCTTATCAACATAAAAGAGTACAAGTACCTTTCTTATTCCAGGAGACTATGACAGCTAGGGCATCTACTAAAATCCATGGAAAGCATGGGTTTCTCCATCAGAGGATAACACATGTTAGGAATAATCTTTGACACACAACTGTTCCTGGTGTTATGATAATGTAGAAGAACCTAAATAATATAACAACTGAATTAATCAGGGGTTTCTGAATAAGATTTGCTAGAGCATCAGAAGTGGTAATCGTCTGCCCGGGTGCATTTTTCACACCTGAGTTTTAGAGCACTAGACAATCCTGGACTAGGACTAGCATACCTCCAGCCTGTCTAAGCTGCTCTGAATAGCAGCCTGAGCCTTGAAAGTATTGAATGGTACACCCAAATTGGTATAATCTGAAAACTTAGTGAGCAAGCATTCTGTCACCTCTTCCAAGTAATTGATAAAGTTGTTGAAAAGGACCAGTGACAAGACAACTGCAGTGCTTATTACTGGCCTCCATGTAGACTACAATACATTACTATCTACCTTCCAAGCCTGACTATCCAAGCAGTTTATTTTTTATACTTAGCTGTTTGTCCACTTTTCATGGCTGTAATCTCCTAACTAGGGTTCAAGGATATTGTGAGAGAGAGAGTCAAAACCCTTGGTGAAATCAGGGTAAATGATATCTCATGCCCTCCCTAACTTCAGACATTTTATCATAGAAGGTAATCACATTGGTCAGGCATCATTCACCCTTAGTAAATCCATGGCCTCCCTTTTTGAACACAAGTGCAACACTAGCACACCCCCAGTCATCGAGGATTTCCCCAGTCTCCAAAACCTGTCAAACATTGCAGAGGGTGACTTTGCAACAGAATCAGACAGTTCTCTCTGCACCTGTGGACGCAGACCACCTTCTTGCCATTTGCTCTTTGTAATTCTTAACTGAGGCTGAGTTTTGGCTTTCCTGGACAGAGGCCTGACACATTTCCTGGCCCAGACAATGTTTCTAAATTTCTTCTTTGTAGACTGTCTTTGCTTCCAACTCTTCTATACCCTGAGATCAGCTCAGCTGGTTAGAGCATGATGCTAATAACACCAAGGTTGTGGGGTCAATCCCTCTACAGGCCATTCACTCGAGTTGAACTCTATGGTGCTTCCCTTCCAACTCAGAATATTCTCTAATACTGCTTTTTGCATTGAAGCCCCATCACAAGTAACCTGCCTATCTAAGCCAGGCTACTTATCTTCCTGAATATCAGGACAGGTCATTCATACATTTGGAAGATATTGTCCTTAAATTTCATCAAGCTTTTCTGATTAACTTAGGAGATCTGGGTCCCATGGGATCCCACAAGTAGCAGAGCCAGCTGTGTGCCACCTTCAACTGTCCTATCGAGAAACTACTACTGACACCTTCTAGAAATCTTCACTGTTTCGATCCTGCCATGCTTGTCCTTTCAGCAGACATGAGAGACATTAAAGTTCCCCTCTTTCAGACTTACCGGACCCTTCAGAATTTTCCACAGGACTTCTGACATCCTTACCTTGTTGTAGCCCTAAATCCCTTATCATTCTCAGTTTCTAAACTTTCACAGCTAGCAGTCCCCTTTAGTTCTCAGAAAGCTTCATTATGTTAAGAACAGAATGTGGAATTTCCATTACAGCAAAATTCAACAAGTTCAAGGTATAATTATTTGATTCTTTTTTCTCTGAAACAACTGAATATAATGAATTTACAGGTTTCTTCTCTCACTTGCACAAAAAAACTTGAGACTCTGTCCCCCTGAACTCCGAGAGAGAAAAGGAAAAGAAGAATGAGAGATATCTGATACCTGTGAATCAATGTGCGCAATCTGGAGATGCTCACATGTTTTGTAATTGGGGCAGTATGAGAAAAAGAATATATTCTCTGTTCAGGTTGTTCTCTTTTAGTCTAGATTTTATGAAATGGAATGAATTTCTCTTCAACTTATCTTCATTTAATGCTGAAGGCTTCTCAAACAATGGGGCTTAGAAAATTTTCTGTCTTTTATCATTCTTCCAAATGGAAGATCTCCAAGGAGATCAAAATCTATTCCTCTTGCAGCATATCTGTGTCTGGTTCATGTTCTCCTTTATCAGCTTAGCTTCTTGGCTAGTATTTATCAAACTGTCTGATTTTTTTGGGTTTCAGATGGGACATGTGTGCATAGATTAATTCTAGGCCAGAGCTTGTTGAAGCTCTGTTTATAATTTCATCATTATTTTAATTTGGATATAGACATAGCATGTTATTTTTGTATACTGCAAGTTATTATTTAATGAAAGATTTAAGGATGCTTTACAGAAAAAGAGAACAATTTTCATACTATAAAAGAAACTTCAATGTCAAAATAAGTTGGTCAACTTTGAGTAGGCTAATGAAAGGGCTGTGCTATAGAACCAGGTTGATCAATCATTAAAGCACAATACTGAAAAAGTGTTTTCCTAATTATACTTCTAGACTTGGAACATGCAGATAACATCTACACTCTTAGCAGCTAGCAGTGCTTCTCTATGATTGTCTGGGTACCTTCAGAGTTAATTCTTGTATTGACAGATGTAGTTATTAAAACAATACTCAGTAAAAAGTTCTCAGTGACGTTTGTAATGGTGTCATGTACTTTTTCTGAGGATTGTGACATACACATGTACTTTGCACAAAAGTATTTATAGTTGATATTTACCTGAAACTTAGTTATTTCCTTAGAACTGGTCTTCATTTAGTGACAGAAGTGTAATAACAATAGATAATGGAAACTTTAGCTAGTTTCTTCAATAGCCAGGGCAGAATGTAGAAATTTGTTATTATTGTTTTTCTTGTAACAAGTCTACTCAAATCATCTATGTATCACAGCTGCATGTTCGGAACAAATTAGCTTAGCTTCAATATTCACTGATGCATTTTATTGCATAACTAAAGCCATATTTTGCAGACTTCTAAAACTTATCCTTTAACCTACTACATGCAAAATTATATTATATGACAGTGGAAAGCTATGAAATTTATTTCCGAATTATATAGCTGCTTAGCTTTAAGTGTGATGTAGTGATAATTACTTCTGAGTTGTAATTAACTGAGCAAATAAATTGTTAAATTTTAGATGCTGATAAATAGGAGAAGCTAAATAACCATAAACTGTCTGCAATATTTTAACACTAAGGAATTCTGTATGAGATAAAATTACAGCAAACACGTTTATAAAATATCAACTAAGCAGAGACTATTAGACAGCAGTAAAACACATTCTCATAGAATGGTTAGAATTCATTGCAATATAAGGTATCAACAACCTCAGTATTTCAAAAATTATTGTCAGTACAGAAATTACATATGAGGAAATTTGTTCAAAGATAGATATTTCTGAAATACAAAGTACAAATCACAGTTGAGAAGAAAGAAAAAAGAAACATCTATTACATACAGAGAAGCTGATGTACATACAAAATAGGTGAGGCAGGGAAAGGAAGAGAAAATGAGAATAATGGAAAATTAAAAAGGACACTTACTGGGGAAAACCACATCACTTTAAGAATCCAAATTGTCAAAGAAAAATTCACAACTAGGATGATAAGCAGGAGGAGAACAAATAGGTAGAGGCAACGCTTTCTCCAGCCATAAATTCCAATTTTGTAGACATATTCATTCTTCGGCCTCTCTAGGCTAGTGCCTGGTGTTGTCGTAGTGTATTGTTCACGTACCATCTGCTATGTAAAGGAAAAAAAAGGACTGCTTAGTTTCTTGATTTAAATGAAAATATTTGTATAATACTCCAAGGAAATATGAAGATATAATTGTAAATAGCAAGTTACTAGAAACTGGAAACTCGTATGAAGTTTTACCCGGAAAGCATTTTCATCATGTTCCACTCAACTTACATCTTGGTTTTTTGGTACACACAACCTGATGTTTTAATATATTAACTGCATCAACTGCTGTTTTCAGGAGGCTTAAATCCTATGAAGAATGGCAACACTTTCCTCCCATTTGTCATAATATTCTAATTCTTCCATCACAAAATATTTCATGGGATCGTATCATAATCTGTGGCTCACAGAACAATATTACTGTAAAAATAGTTACAAGTGGTAACAGTACCTTGGAAACACATGTTCAAAAAGAATTCTCCGTACTCTATCCTTGACTCTAATAAAATGCATTCTCTGTGTTGCCAAACTTAACTGTGTATCAGTTAGAATGCCAGTATATATTAAGCTTCAGAATATGCATGTAAAGAAATGAAATGGTTCTTAGCAATGTACAAGAAATAATGATTTCTCAATTCAGCAGATATTCTTATTTTAAGATATATCAACAATAAAAACATTACTTACTGGATTTAAACAACTTCACTTTATACTATAGTTCTTAAAGAAGCATTCTTTGAATTTAAAGGAATCTTAAAAGATTGCATTTTCTTAAAACATGAGTATATTTACTAAGTTCCACCTTTACAGTACAGAGATCACCAACAATTCAAAACATTCATTAAAGCTTATGGTTTCAGCCAAAAGAATAAAAACTCAGCAGCTGAAGCTGCTTATCAAGAAAAACACTGGGCAATATCTGCTAATTCACACTGATAGAAAGCAAAAAAAAGCCCAATCCAGTCATGGATGTCAAAAAGAACATAGGTACTGTAAGATCAAACCCTTCTCATGAGCCAGGTATGTCCACAGGCATCTTACATCCAAAACCTGGTCCACTTTACTACAATAAAATGCTCCCAAATGAAAGTGCCTTCAGAAAGGTTTCATACAAGGTCTCCTCTCAAGTCTGAATTTTCTCCTATCAATGAGATCACCATGCTCTGCTCACACAACTTTCAAAATATGATCAAATTACATCCTTTCTCTGCTGCTGAATTACTTTAAGTAAAGTTACAGAAGCTCTTTTCAAGTTTTCTGCAGAGCCATTCTGTATCTGTAACAAGCTTGTGGCTCTCAGTTCTAACCCTGTCATCTTTTGTTCCTGTAGCTTCCTAGCAAGACAGAGATTGCAATGTAAGTTTACAATTGAACAGTTCATGTATTATCTCTTTATATATATCTGCAGTAGTCATCTTATTTCTGCACTTCCACTAAAAAAAAATAATTTAATTTGCTGTTTATTTGCATCCAAAAACTAGACAAAATCATTGGCAGTTCATAATGTAACTTTGCTACAGGCATTATGGTACAATAATGTACCAGATATTGTAATTAATTTTTTTCTGTTACCAGTCTCAGTTGCTCATGGACTGTCTATATAAATCTTTTCATTGCTGAAAACAGTATAATGATTTAATAGTGAAGAATCATAAGTTCTGAAATAACTTGGCTTAATATTACTGCAAAACATTGTAGTTTTACAAGATGTTACTTAATATTCACCACTTGAACTGTGTTTGCTTAAAACAGATTTTGTATTTCAGCTCTGGGTATTACTCAAGCACATAGTACTTATTACAGAATACAGCATAAACTTGAGATGATACTATTTTTTTTTGTTTTCCATGTAATTGTTGTATCATAAACCATATTACTCACATAGAAGTTGACCCTTTTCTTAAACCTCCGTTACCATGCTCTTCCATGACATATTGGGATATTTATACATACAATGCTTAGACAAACCTTTACTCTTACTTCCACACAGACCTCTTCTCAACACATAACTTAACTGTTACCTGGTAACACCAAGAGATATACTTTGAGAAATAACCTGTGCAGTTCTTGCTCACGTATAGTACAACTATGTCCTGGTTCTGGCCAATTTTTGCAGTATCCAGGAGGGGCATGGTTAGGACCCTGAGGTTATTCTATACCACCTCACATCATTGCCAGTGGTGGCAAGGAGGGGAGACAGGGTCATGCTGCGCATGCTGGGCACAGGGTATTGCTGGTTTCCCCGTGGTGAGCACTTGCATGTGGATCGTTCACCTTTCTTGTACACTGTTACTAGTATTATTGCTGTTACTGTTAGTTTCTTGTCTCATTCTTGTTTCTAGTAAATTGTTCTTATCTCAATTCATGATTTTTACCTTTTGTACCTCCAGTTCTCCTCTCCAGCCTGCTGCAAGGGGAGGAGGAGAGGGAGTGAGCAAGCAGTGCGTGGTTTGGAGTGTATCAGTGGGAACACTAAACTGGAGAATGCCATTCCTAAACCATGACAAATTACATACACCCTAATACAGGGTACCCAGCTTCTTACTGTTTTCTTCACTACACATACTTGTTAAGTGTCAGTTGAACAAAAAATAAGATAGATGACAGCTACAGAAATTTCTGTAGTAAGAGAAGCCCTCATCACAAGACAGACTGCTTTGCCTCTTCCTTGTGTTGCTGTTTCTTACATCTTCAAGGTAAATTTTGCAGTAGAAGCACCATTTGCCAAAGAATTTGCCAATTTATTTTCACGTCTTCCAGTTTTATGCAGCCTCATCACAATGGTCTCTAACACTGGAATTCATCTCACAATTCAGCATTGAATATCTGAGCCAGTCAACCTGGGGACTCCCTTTATGGTCAATGGAGATAGATAAACCTGCTGGGAATTATTTGTCTGACTTATTTTAGAGGTGAATTTTAGACATGCAATGAACTGCACCTTCGATGGGTTTAACTTCTCTTCATCAAAAGAGAAAGAAAGAAAGCATGGGATGACTTTGTCATATGTATATACCTGCATGTTTTAGACATTTCAATCAGAATGATTTCCAGAAGCATGTAATTTAACAATAAGATAGGATTCCTGTTCTTCTCTGTTCCATTTTTACACTGTTGTAAAATGTTTATTTTGTGAGTTGAGGGTTTTAAACATAATGCACTGCTGCTTAATGAGGTGAGGTCAAAATCCATTACACATTTTACCAAAAAGCCTATGAGTTTTGCAATTGTCTTCAGCCCTTGAGAAATTCCACAGGGGACATCTCCCAGCACAGCATCGTTCCCTGCATGAATTATTTTTTCCTAACAGAAAACAGTTCTGCTGTTCCTGAGCATTATTAATACTGCCAAAAATTGCTTTGGTCCTAGTAAATGGGCAATGCTGGCCTAGACAACTGAATGCTTTGAAAAGGATTAAGCTTTTCTCCTTAATATAATATTTCATGATTTTTAAGAGAATTAGTGGCCCAGTAACAAGTAATTACAGCAGAAATCCTATAAGAATTGATGCTGTTGGACTGCTTCTTTTGGGAGAATCAGCTTTCCACATTACTGACTTACATGTTCATGAGCTGAAATCACACAGGAAAAATAATCTCAGACCTGTCTGGAGAAGTCAGAGAGAAATAATTTTATATGTTTGGGATGTTTTACAAAGCTGAGCTGAAAGGAAAGCCTTAGATAGTCAGATCTCATAGTTGGCTTGTGAAGTCTGCCAGGATTCAAGATAGACTCTCAGAACAAAAACAACAGATATTTAGCACTGTGATGAAAAATGTGATTTGTAAATGGAAAAACCATGAAACTGTAAGTTGGTTGTGTAGGAGCAAAGTAAACACATGCCAAGAAGGAAGTGGCTACTTAGACACCTGGATGTACACAAGTTAGTTGAAGAAGCAAGAAATCTGCAGTATGAACAATGACTTTGGTAACTGTTACCTTTAGATTATTTTACAAGGAAGCAGCCCACAGTGACTAAGAGTAAGAACAGTACTGAAAACTTACAGTGAAGATAAAATAGCAATTTAGTTTCAGAATGAAAATTCTTACACCTTTCAAATGGGCCATGAAAACATCTCATTTGCATAAGGCTAGCAGTACCACAATAAACAAAAGTCTGCTACTTCATTGGAAGAGGAATTTCTTGGTGTTCCTGTTCAAGGGCCCCCACAATCAGAAGTCAAATAAGATTAAGGTCGATTACTTGCATATTTCTTATGTATTTTTGTATATTTGGCCATAATTCATGGAATTGAGTTCTATCATGATAGTTTACTATTTAAAAGTATTTTCTAATTGTCAAAATCAATTTTACTGGAATCCATTTAAATCCAATTACTTCTTGCCTCTTTGCTGATTTAAACCAGATACTGAATGCTAATCAGCTGTCAAAAGATTTGTTAAAGATTTTAAATGACAGATAAAACACTGTAGGTGTTGAGACCACGTGAGATTTCTCATGTGTTCAGGTATTACTTGTATGTATTGTATGTAAGGCACGAAATTCATGCCTACAGTAATACATATAAGCCACTGATGAAAGAGCTGTATGTTCTTTACATTGTGCTATTAAAGCTGCCCTCTAAAAGTATGTAGCCATGATAGTACATTTCCTCAGCTCTATTCCACCCTTTTTCATGCAAGACTTAGAAACTGGCCTGTGTCATTTGCATGAATTAGAGGTCCAGATTTTTTTTTTATTAATACTGAGATATTGAAAAACTGCCCATCAATGATGTTACTGTTGGACGTAGCTTAGGTCGGGCATCAAGTTCAAACAGCTATTCTGACAGCTCTGGAATATTCATTTAAGACAGCTTTGTTTTGAAAAAGGAATTTGCAAACTTATCTGTAAGCCTGTTTGGGAAAGCAGGCCTGAGTAGAAGCTCGTTAATCATATTTTCAGGAATGACTTATTTGTAGGAAATACTGAAGACCGAATACTATTTCAATTAAAATAAGCAATCTCAGTTTAATTCAACTGTAAAAATATGTTTTCACCATTTTTGTTCATAAATTGTTATATTATTTTCATGAACTTTAATAAAATTCTCCTTAAT